ATAGAACCATAGAGTCATAGAACTATAGAACCATAGAGTCATGGAACTACAGAATCATAGAGTCATAGTCACAGAACCATGGAGTCATAGAACCACGGAACCATAGAGTCACAGAGCTATAGAGCCATGGAATCACAGAGTCACAGAACCGTAGAACCATAGAATCGCAGAACTACAGAGCTGTAGAACCACAGAACCATTGACTCCTAGTAATGGAGTCATAGAACCATAGAACTACAGAACCATAGGATCATAGAGCCAAAGAACCACAGATGCATAGAAGCATAGAATCATAGAGTCGTAGACAGAGAAAAATAGAGTCATAGAGCCCAAGAGCCATAGAGCCATAGAATCACAGGGCCAAAGAACCACACAACCACAGAATCATAGAATCAAGCGCTCCTGCAGCCACACCAGGACCCCACAGCCCCTCCACATCCCATTCTGGCCCTTTCTGCACCCCTGGCACCCAGGAGGTGGTGGTGAGCTTCGGAGCGTGAAGGATAAGTAGGTCAGCGCGACACAGCCACTAAATATTTCATAGCCCTTCCAGCTCTGACCTTTCGGAGTATCGAGCTCCTGGCTTCATTTAACACGAACAAAGGAACACAGGCAGGATAACATGCTGCATTTTAAGGACCCACAGCTCAGGGCCATGGCCAGGAGTGCTCTGAGCATCTGGATCAGGCCCAGCGGCTCACTCTTGCACCGTTGCTGCCAGGAGGATTTATTTGAATTAATTTGCTTTCAGGAAGACACAGCCTGCTAATTGCAAGGCAAAGCGAGGCTGCTCACAGGGCCCAGCGCCTGCTTTCCATCTGCCAGTGGTACTGCCTACTTGCAGCACGGCAGTGCAGAAAGCCATTGCATGAGGCACTGGGAAACACGAGGGAAAATGAAGTGTGTGCACCTCAAACCCCAGCCCTGCAGCTCACTTCAGCAGGCACAAAAACAAGCATTTCAACTGGAAGTTGCACCAAGCTGCTCCTCACCACGCAGCTGTTGCAGCCGTGTCCCCCTCCACTTCCCTTTGCCTACATCCCAACAACTGCACACACAGCAAGAAAGGCTTCACCTATGCATTAGGAAGTTTTGTTGTACTCAGTGGCAAAACCAGACAATGGGGCACTGCCCACCACAGCGGAACTGCAGGGGGGGTCTGGTGTCCACCAGACATCAGGGAACCCCCTGGGCTCTCCGTGCCAGGAGCCAGCAACCGACGTGGAGCACAGGGGCAGAGGGGATGCAGCATGGCTGTGCTTCATTAGCACTGAGCCTGCAGCCCCCTCCCTCCTGCCATCTCCTGGGAATTAATGGGATGCACAGCTCTGCTTTATGGGTTGTTACATGGAGCGCAACAGCAGACATCACCTCCCCTCACAGCTCACATTATCCAGCTTCCCCCCATTTCCCTATTTGCAGGACGCGATTAACGCAGCGTCTGGAGCAGGGATGCATGCAGCAGCTGCTGAATTCCAGGACGGAGCTTTTAGTTAATATGCAATCCCTTTAATTCTGAGCAACCAGCTGAGTAATTTCCTTTGCAAAGTAGATTTGATGGGTTTTTGTCAGAGTACATTAAGCTTCCAGGAGGACAGAGCAGGGTTGCTTGCTGGTGATGGTTTCTGTGCAAGGAGTCAGGAGTTTTAATTAAGACCAATTGAATACACGGAGCAGCAGTGGGCCGGTTCCCATGCCCAGGGCACCTCAGAGAGGGGAAGGAGCCTCGGGGGGAGTGGAAGCAGCAGTAACAGTGACAAAAAGAGAACAATAATTATAAAATCAGGGATTCAGGGCAGTGCTTCCTGGGCGGCCTCTCCTGAAGGCACCTTGTCAGTGCTAAACCGCAGTGAATCCTAATCCTGCTCCGAGGCTGCATGCATCCCACACTGCCCAAAGCTCAGTGACCCAAATAGCAGCTCCTTAATACCGGGCTCTGCCTCCAGGCTCCAGCACTTCGGTGTTTTTCACAGCAGGGGTTGGAAGGAGCCTTGCACGGCTGCTGCAGCAACTGGGCAGGAGTGCTTTGCATGGAGAAGTGTTCGTGTGATGCTCACAGGGAGAAGGGGCAACAAACAATTCCTGCTACCACGAATGGTTCAGATGGACCAGGGGCACACAGAGCTCTGAGGGGGATGGACACATGGCACCAGGATGGACACACGACCCCAGGATGGACATACTGCTGCAGGACAGGGATGACCGTCCTGATGGGAAAATCCTTCCTTGTTGAGGCTCTGCTTCCACCTCCAGGACAAGGGGAATTTTCTCCTCCCCCTGCACTCTCTGCTCTCGTGCTGCTTTAGGGGATCAGGGAGGGCTGCCTGAGCCTCAGGGATTTGCAGGGTTTCCTCGGAAATCCTTGAGTACACACAAGTCTCTAGTGGCTGAGATTAAGAGTAAATACGTTTGCTGCTGCCTTCTTTAGAGGAGGTCTCTCCTCCTTGAGAAGAGAGGAGAAAATCACACCAATTTTGCTGACCTGGGGCTGATTTCAGTACATGCAAAGGTGACCGCAGCTGACCCGAATTTCATTAGGAACCAGTTCCACCTGAGGCAGCATAAGCAAGGCAGAAACGGGACAGATCCTTGGCAGAGACCCAGAACAACCATGGGAAGCAGTGCTCTGCCAGCACCGGAGCTGGGGGCTCAGAGAGCTGCAGGCACTGCAGGGCAGCACGTCTGCACTGGGGGTCGTCAGGGCAAGGAGAGGACTGGTCTGGTCACTGGGCAGCTTGGGCTCTGCTGGTGATGGCACTGCGCTGAGAGGCAGTGATTGTGCTGAGCGTTTGCGCAGATCGTTTCCCCAAAGGCCATTCCCTTATGTGCATGGAGGGATGGATGCCACTCTTGGAGATGTTTCTGTCCAACAGTTGGATAAATACAGATGCCTGCAGGCTTTCCCTTCTGCTGCGTGCAGCTTCCAGCACTTGTGCACCAGCAACCACGTCTCTGCATGGCCACGGCCATGGGAACCAGCACTGCTCAGGTCCATCCTCCTCCATCCTCCTCCATTCTCACTGCAGTTACCAGCTGCTCAGCATCCCCAGGGCTGCTGGCTCCTTCTATTTGCAGCCAAGCCATGCAAAGTGGAGCAGGAGAAGTAACCAGCATTGCTGCTTAGCACTTTTGCCAGGATGAAGGCTGAAATATCAGTCACTCCCCCTCCTTGGATATAAATACATTTATAGGCTATAAACGTCCATCTCCTGCCCGGCCTCACTGCAGCACATCCATAATCTGTATTTTGGGTAACAGCTACTTCTCCAGACACAGCAGACCCAGAGCCCTGTGCTCTGAAGGCCAAAGTAGGGCACACGGGAGCTCCGACAGCACTTTGCACCGGTTCAAAGCTGCAGCTTTGCCGCAGCAGTGTTCACCTGCCCCATAAAAGCAGCAGCTGGAATCGAGCTTGTTTAATTAAAGAGGCAAAAACCCATGCAGTGCTACCGTTAGATGGGACGACGGGCACTAAAAACTGAAACCAAACCCTTGTTTGCTGGGCACCCAGGACGGGGTTTCTGTTTCAGCCGGCAGAGGGTGCAGGCACTTGCGTGCAGGTCGGCTCCCCGGCCCGCTGCCCCCGCCGCTCTCGGGGCAGTGCGTGCAGCAATGCTGGGACATCGCTGCCACCAGCCCGGACTGCTGCCTTCCTTCCTTCCCCGTCTCGAGGTTACAAGCAGATGGCTCCTTCAGACCAAAATCACGTCTGGAAAAATCGACAGAAAACCAAAGTATGGTACAAACCAGACGAGAGTTCCGAGTCCTGAGCTTTTAGGTAGAAAAAGCCCTCAGGGCACAGCTTCATATTGAAGAGAAATACTGAAATCCACGCATTTTTTTCTTTGCAGAAAGCCCCAAGGAGCGAGCAGAGCATCCTCGCGCTGAGTATCCCCTTCCCTGCCACCATCAGTGGCTGTCCCCAAGGCAATGCCACTGGCACACAGCTGAGCAGATGCCATCGGCTCCCCAGGCCAACAAAGGCAGAGTGGGGGCGGATGGCTGCCCTGGGCACTGTGCCTGCTGCTCCGCTCAACAGCTGTCACTGTGGTTGGGGACAGGATGGGAATGGGATGGGGGGCAGGATGGGGGATACGGCAGGACTGCTCCCCCGGGGGCTGCGGGAACGGTCTGCCCACAGAGCTCTTCCTTTCAGTTTGGGTTATGGGCAACGCAGAAGCATCCTGGGGTGCTGTGGGGCCATTCGGAGCTCAGCACGAGGGATGGATGCCCATGGGCAGTGGGGACACAGCTAAAGGCACAGCACAGACTGCAAGCAGCAGCCCTGCCGTGAGCAGCAGCCCTGGGTTCTGGCTCCCTACATGTAAACAAAGCCTCCTCCTATTGTGTGAGCTTTGATTCCAAACCCAGAAGATGCAAAAAGGCTCTTGGCTCTAACAGCGCAGTTAAGCCCATTCTCCACCAGATGAAGGAAAAGAAGGAAAAGAAGAAGAGGAAAAAGAAGGAAAAAAGGAAGGAAGAGGAGAAGAAGAAGGAAAAAAAAGAGGATGAAGGAGACGGAAAGGAAGAAGAAGGTAGACATGTCACCTCCAAATCCCATCTTTCCTACTGCTCTGTGGCTCCCTCATCCACAGCCCTCCTTCCAGGATGAAAGAGGGAGGTGCTCCCAGAAAAATACATGGGATTTCCTTCCCAGTTCCACAACTTCAGCTTCTCTGAGCCCCAGGTCAGGCCTGGGAATTGTCTGCACATTGTTTGCTCTCGAGGAGGGTTCTGCTCCTGCCGAGCACCCAAAGGCTTTCAGTTGCAAGGAGCTGAATTTCTGGTGTGCAGAGGAACATATGGCCCAGCGTATGCAAACACATTCACATTGGTGCTCGCAGCACAAAGCAGAGCATTTTTCTGGGGAAGATTTCTGGCGAGAACAGAGGGCAGAAATGTAAAAATAAAATTTATATTAAAAAAAAAAAGAAGAAGAAGAAGAAGGAAAAATGGCAGCAAATCAGACCCCGAGTAGATGCGCAGTATCTAGGTTACCTTAATTATGTTCAGCTAAATATGGATGCCAATTAATTAGGTGGCTGCTTATTTCCAAAGAAAATTAGTTTACTCTTAATGAGCTAATCAGCTCCTATTTAAGAAAAATAATGAAATTATTAGGTTGTACAAAGGAGCGTGCAGCCATCTGACACGGAGAGCCAAGGGGGCTCCAGTGGGGACCATCCGGCAGCAGCAGTGCACCGCAGCTCTGGGCTTCTCTGTGGGCCAACCATCCCTTCAGAACAGGTTGCAAATGACAGCCTGGCATTGTGCTCCATTTGCCAGGAAGAAAAAAAAGAAGTGAAAAAGAAGAGTAATTTGCTGGCAAATTAGGGTTATGGCTCAGGGTTTGGGATGGCTGCATGGGGCGTGGATGGGTGTGCTCTGAGCTCGGGGCGCAGGCAGGAGGCAGCGATGCAGCTCCGCCAAAGCTCCTTGTTTGCAGAATATTAATAAGAGTCAAGCTGCGTGCCGCAATTAAAATGCTGATTATGATTTCTTCCATCTGTAGCTGATGCTACTCGGGAAACTAAATAAAAAGGAAGGAGAGATGTGGATGTTACGTGGGGAAACGTCTGGGAGAGAAGCAGCCATTGCCCACAGCTCCGCATCCCGCACTGTGCTCTCAGAAGGCAGTTTTGGGGAATCAGCTGAATTTCCAAGGGTTTAAAATTGCATGAACGGGGGATGTGCAGATTGGTTTGGGCACTCATGCAAGAAGCGGAGGGAAGCTTCTGAAAGCACAGTGCTGCAGGGGGAAGGAATACATGCTCTGATTGTGTCCGTAGCACAGAAGTGTGCCCTCGCCCCAGTGGCAGGCTGGAGAGCCAATGTGAATGGAGGAGTGCTGATGTACTGGTGTAT